CCGGTCGGCTGCCCGGTGGCTGGGGCCAGCCCATGCGTGTGCCCGGGGGCGATGCTGCGTGCCCGGGCCCAGGGCGCCAAAAGAGCTCAGGCCGGCCCTGCATGCGAGACAACAGACAGAAGCCCCTTTGTGCTGGATGCGTCCACAGAGAAAAGATGGCCCCTGCCCCGAGAAAACGATGAGATGGTCGAGCACGAAAGGCTTTCGAATTTCTCCTGGGAGCGGGGTGAAAGCATGAGCTTAAAGAGAGATTCAAACTTGTCCGGGCCCAGGGCGCCAAAAGAGCTCAGGCCGGCCCTGCATGCGAGACAACAGACAGAAGCCCCTTTGTGCTGGATGCGTCCACAGAGAAAAGATGGCCCCTGCCCCGAGAAAACGATGAGATGGTCGAGCACGAAAGGCTTTCGAATTTCTCCTGGGAGCGGGGTGAAAGCATGAGCTTAAAGAGAGATTCAAACTTGTCTCAAAGACCCAAAGTGACGGCGAGCACCCCACCTGCCAGGAAGCTGTTCCCACGCTTCTTCCCCTCCCTGGATGGACATGACATCTCATTTCAAAGTTGCATTGACCTGACTTTGACCTCCAGCCCTCGGCTCTTGTGCGGCCTGTGTCAGCACGGTGAAAAGCTCTCCGATCTCTCTGTTCTTGGACACAGCGCGGGAGGACTGACCGGTTAAAATCACATTGAAAAACTCACGTAGCAGAAGCTGAAGACGTTGCTTCCCCAGGCGTGTTGTGCACTTAACGTTTTCAGACCCAGAGACCCACTCAATGCCCGAAATCGACATTACTGCCTTCAGCTCAACACGTGCGTTATGAATATACTAGGGCCACCTGCTGAAATCTGCTTTGACGCTCACTCTGACGTCACAGCGGGTCTGGCATGACGCAGTCTAGACGGGGTTAAAGCAGCGTTCAGACACCATTGAGAGCTGGCCGGTGATTTGAAAACAGACCGTTGACTTGAGCTGTCGTGGGACCAGTCCATACAGCCGGATTCAGTCGGAAACGCGCCTTCTCCTAGCCCACGAGGGACAGATGGTTAAATAAGGGTCGAGACGGGCAGAGATCTGACACTGCTAATCCATCTTCTTCGGTATGCAGCCTTCCATTTCCAGAACCTCGGGCCAGCCGTCGTATTTGTTTTTCGCCGCATCGTTTTTTAAGTGCTATGGAGGAGAAAAAAGAAATGGAGCAGCGGGCCTGGCAATGGCAGGGGGGACTGTCTGATTTACAGCCCGACTGCTAATTAGGATAACGGGGTATAATGCCTCCTCCCTGGCATCCGGCGCTAGCAGGACTTGGAACACGGATGTTCCACCCGGCAGCACAGAGCGCTACCCCTTGAGCTAAAGGAGAAGCTCCTTGGCTGGTAGCAGTAGTAGGCTGTTGTCAGCCAGCAGGCCTGCCATTTAGTTAGTGAATTACCCAGCGAGATGAAGGGAACGTTCCCAGCCGCCAGTGCAGAGAACCGCTGCCAGCGTAGGCGCGTCGGAGACGGCTTTGGTGTGGCCGGAATGAGGACATTTTGCCTCACGCTTTCCCTCTGGCCCTGGCTCTGCCAGCGTGCGGGTGCAAACAGCACCCCAACAGGAGCCCAGCCCTGCGCATTGTCTGCCTATGGGACCCAGGGGCTCGGCGGCAGCGCGGGGCGTTTGACCTGCCCGTTTCCCCGCAAGGCCCGGCAGGGGCGTCCCGCTCCCTGGGGCTGTAGGGCAGCGCGAGAGGCCACGGGGAACGGAAAGCAAGGCGGGGGATTGCCCGCGGGGCCGCACGTGTGCGCTGAGCTACGTCCAGAGCCAGGCCTGGGCCAGCTAGGCCTTAGATAAAGCCTTTGCCAGAGTCAAACGAACCCCAGCCGGAAAGCCTGGCTCCCCGATGCTCTGGCGGAGGCAGCCTCACTGCTAGCCAGGCCCCAGGCGTACTCCTGGGCCGAGGGGCAAATACCTGCTCGTAGGGGCTCTTCTCCTGGAGCCCTTTGGCGCCGATGAAAGTCCAGTTGTCTCGGAAGCCCAGCTTGCTCGCGTAGCTACTGCCCAGCTCGGAGAGCAAGGTCCGCGCTTCGTCGTTCAGCCTTAGGAAGGG